TATATATACATATTTGTTTAAGTCCGGAAATATTGAGAGTGATAAGCTACAGGCTTATATATATGCCTCCAGGCATGCTGCCAGCACTGCGTTTGTAGAGCGCGCGTCCCTGTAGCTTAAGGCCGTCGCACACCTACCCAAAAATCGGTTCGATTAAAAGATCTCTTCATCGTTTGTAAAATCGGCTCAGCGCGACGCCTTCCGATAAACACCCGCACACCTACGATAAAATGTGATGTCATAATAAACCTACGATAAAATGTAAATGTCATGTGACACGGGCACGTTCAGCTATTGGCTGTTCAATATTTATCGTAGACGATTTTCCTGAGTTCACGCGCACACCACAAAATCTTGTCGGATTACACAAAATTGCTTCAAAATAATCGGTTCAAAATCAAACATGTTTGATTTGGAACGATCACCCGATAAAAATAATCGTAAGTAAAATCGTCTACAAATGAACGCGCACACCTACCCGATATCGGCTGATTTTTATCGGGCCGATCAAATCGCGTGAAAAATCGGCTGGTGTGCGACCCCCTTTAATTGTCATCGTTCTATTTATATAGGTCCTCCGTACATCTCAGAAGCGCCACGGAATCGTTCGGTGCAGACAGGACAGACTGCAATTCTGAACTGTAAGGCGGCCGGGCACCCTTCCAATATCACATACCAGTGGTTCGTTAATGGACACTCTCTCGAAGAAGTGCACGGCCTGAAGTCCAGAATCACTGTAAGTTGCATATACGGGGCGTGGTTGACCAGCACGCGTGTATAGTTAGCAGGTTGACCAGCACGCGTGTACAGTTACGCTCGTATGCATGCGGCGTTTACATAGCATGAGATTAATATAGCAGTACGAGTGTGCGGGCGGCGTTTGGCACCTCGTTAATTGCTGACACCTATTAAATTGCAAATGCTCATTAGAAAAGTTCACAATGGGCTCCTGCTAATATGAATGAATACTTGGGCATAACCAAGCTGGTGGTAATTGATGTATTTTAATTTAGAGTCATGTCACCAACAGATGTGTTGAGTGTGCTCGGCGGTACCATTTCTCATGTGTTCTATATCCAGGAATCAGCGTTATTATAAGTGAAACTGGGAGTTGGTTTTCAGGCTGTTTACTGTCAATGACAAACAATGAAAGCTAAATTTTAAAAATTGCTTGTGTATGCCAAATAATATTTAGTAGTAAAAATCAACGTACAATGGACGGAAATTGTACATAATTTCATTGAAAATATAAGTGAATAGTTAAATACTGCGCAATCTATTTTGTGTCATCATCCATGTTTATGCTTAAAGATTATTATAAGCATCTTGCGTCTAACGCATGTGGACAACGCAAGGGTTTTATAGCGCTAGATTCGCAAGGGTTTCTTATATTGTCGAATGATGACTGTACCTGTAATATCCTTATCTTCTCTTTTTATTCTCATACTATTGTTACTTATCGAAGCGTGGCCCACCGATAGATCTTCACTGGGTTGTAGTAGGAAGGCACTGAAACGGGAAATATGTAATAATAACAGGAGTGTATAATATAAATATATAGATATCTCAATATTATACACTCCTGATAATAATACATGCAATAGGTGGCAGCACACTCCAACAGAATCGCGGGTTATAGCTGATTATGTGACTTAGATAGTTTTTGTCCTTGTTCTACGATTCATTGCCCCTCGTCCTATCTCCGTTTTCCACGTTTTCAGATCGAGCAGAGTTAATTATGTACTAGAGCGTCTGAGAAGAAAACGTTGATTAGGGTTGCAATTACTTGATAAAATATTGATTAAATCAGAAGTGAATAATAGAGATAATCGAGAATAATAGAGATTGGGGAATAATCTATATTATTCACACTTGATTAAATGTGTATCAATTTCGCTGCGGTACAGGTGAAACCTGACGGCGCACTGGTCATCAACCCTGCATCAGATGACGATACTGGCAGTTACAGCTGTCGAGCAAGCAATGGCATTGGTCTCCCAGTTGAGGCCGGTGCCTGGCTAGATATCAGATGTGAGTACCCTTCTACACGAGTGCAGGATGAAGCTCATGGGGATATCCGATGACCAAATGACAGATGTTGAATAGAATATCTTAAAACTCTCTGCAGCTATAGATCAAGGGGTCCAAATTAAAGAATGTTACTCGGCAATTTCGCGTAATTTGTGACGAGTACTTCATACTTTTTCTCAGACTCAGCTCGAGTTACAATGACAGAAAGCCCTCAGTATTTGCCGAAGGGGCTACCGGGTGTCGTACGTTGTCATATCAAGGCCCATCCACCTGTCCAGTTTGTCACCTGGTTCAAGGACCTGCGTGTCATCAGTGAAGGAATCGATGGTATTAAAGTACTCAGGAATGGATCGCTGCTCATCGAAAAGGTAGACAGAATTATATGAAGTGGTCGTATTGATAGAAACTATGTATTCTCTGAATATTAGGCGAGATGAGTCTATTATATTTTGCAAACGTAAATATCCTAGCGAGGTACTGAGTTTGGTATGATCACTAATTTTAATTATTTCAAATAACATTACGTGCACAAATGTGGAGCTCAAAAACAACGATGTTGATGTAGATTCGTGTTGTAAGTAGCATACATATAGCATTAGCAGCGAAACGTGCAGAGAACGGAACGTTTACGTTCAATTTGGAAGTAGCTTAGCTGCTTGGTTTCTGGTTCTAAATAATGCAGGTAATCTAACCACTGTTGTATTTGTAGGAATAAAGATTTCTCGAAAAAAAACTGTTTAATCAAATGTCTTTACGAGAGGCATTCCACATTGCTCAGTGCATGCAGTGCATGCAAAAATAGGAAGAGACAATTAAAGGAATAATAGGTCCATTGATTATGCAATGTTGACGAATGCTAGAGTAACTGACACCTTGTGTAGTTAATAAGTACATTACCTTATAGCCAAACGCATATTAGTTTGTCCAATATCACTGCTGGTTACATTACAAGCAAGACTTGAAATCGGTTGTTGATATGTATCAACGTATCATTTACGTGCCGTAAATGTCATCCAGGAGTCAAGCGATGACGTAAACATTTGTGCAGCCCGTATGTTTTGGACGCCAGATGAAACGGAGGTGTCAGCGGTGTAATCACGGCCATGGACTAAACATGGAAATAGAGTAAAAAAAACACACGTACTAATAACGGACGCACTGGACCAGGCCCTGACAAAAAAGTTTTCTTATCACGGAGCGTCCATCTGTTTCGAAATCACTGATAATCAGCATGCACGCGAGCATCGTGCGAAATGTCCGGTGGCAGCTATAAATCTGTATCAACACACCCGCTTCGCGGCAGCGTTTGAAACTGTAATACAACTGATTTTTGGAACTACGGATTTCATTAGACATTTCTTAGCTAACCAGCAGTGATATTGACAAACTAATACGCGTTTGTGCGCTATAAGCTAATGTACTTATTAAACTACATCAACGGTGCCAGTGTACTCTAGCATTCGTCAACATTGCATAATCAATGGACCTATATTATTCCTTTAATAAACAAATTTGAACTAATTATAAAAGTAAAGGTGATGATGGTCTGCCAGATTGTACGACTGACCACTCAAGCAAATTCATTAGGACCCCGGGTAGAAGGAATCAGGGCCATTAGTCACGTGCCAGGATCAATAACAGAACACGAGTGAAAAAAAACGATGCAGTCTTCGCAAACCTCTATTTTGCTTGTCGTTCCCGAATTGTAGTCCTCGTTAGAGGCTGAAGAATTGCGGAGTGAATCACTAATATGCAATGTTGCTGGAAGTCACTGTGTGAGGTTACAGCCCTGCTACAGACCATCCCCTTGCTGCCCGCTCCACTCTCCACTTGTTGTTATGGATCTGGCAGTAACCTACAGTTAGTTAATACGCTCATCCATTTCATAGGCGGACAAGTCTAATGAAGGAAAATATGCATGCACCCCATATAACGAAGTTGGGACTGCCGGAACATCTGACCCTATATTGGTAGCAGTTAAAGGTATGTAAGCCTTCAAGCATGTGATACTAACACACTCATACGCACGCACGCACACACACACAACACACGCACACACATACACACAAACACACACGCACGCACACACACACACATGAGCGCGTACGTCGACAGATCGTCAATTTTCGGGCATTCACATTCACACGGGGCATCGCCACGCGTGAAGCTAGTATTGGGAAATGGCAACTTTCAGCTGCAAGTGTTGATGCTGCGAGTAGACACTTCACATATAGTGCGGTAAGGGTCGATTATTGTGCACGATGAGTGCTGACACTGCATGCTCGCTGTTAACTTATCTCGGTGTGCCCTAGACACTCCCCGCACAGAAAGGACGAAGCGTCGACCGTGTTTCTGCGTGAGATTTTTTGCGATGCGAGGGCAACTAGATTTTCTCTCGAAATTGAATAAAGACTGTTCTTGACAGAAATGTCGTTAGTCGTCACACATTTCGTGTGTGTAGCGCGCATTGAACGGGATGCTTCTCTTTGCAATAATAGAAGGTAGACCTGTGGGGCAGCAGGTTGACTGCGTAAGTGTGGTGATGGCATGCAATTAGGCGTTTACAGACTGCAAGCGTTTCCTCATAGCCATCTGTCTAGCTGGATTTCATGTGACGTCATTATCAATAAATGAGTGCGTTTAACGGCTATAACAATGTTATATACATATATATATAATATATTCTTGATATTTTATCCACCAAAAGATTTTTAAGTTAATATAATACCATTTATTAACTCTTGCTGTTAGAAACTCATTAGAGGAACTCTAGACAACATGCATACAAGCGGTGAAGCCAATTTTTAGGGCTAAGCTTAAAGAGACTTGTGACAATAACTTCTTTAGTTCGCACCATAAAACAAAAGCAGATTCATCAAGCGAATTATTAACTTACTCAGTTACACGTGTTTGCTTTGTTTT